ATATGAGACAAGGTACACGAGGTGCGTTTTCTTCTAGACAACAAGTTGATCTAGAGGGAGAACCACAAAGGCAACTTCGTCGTCTTATTTGGGGCCCTTGTAGGACTGTTCCTACACAGTAGCAACTACCTAGCTTGAGCCAGCCTCCTGCACAACAGCAGCTTTTCAATTTGACTCAGCTTCCCGCACAGCTGCAGCAAGAGCAACCCACTGTTACTCAGCCACCATTGGACGATGACCAGTACCCTGGTGATGATGCAACAATGGAGGAGGACACTAAAGAGTGTAATTTGGAGGCTGAGTTGGATGCTAAGTTTGTTGTGCTTGATCTTGAGTTAGATGCTTAATTGGAGGAAGAGCTATCACGTGCTGTCCCAAAGACAAGACATGGCATGGATAAAGAAGATGATGTTCCTATAGACCTGAGTCAAGGGAAGTTGCTTAGACTTAATTGTCGAGGCACATTCAGCCATGAGAGGTTTGGGAAGACTGCCACAATAATATGGAAGTACTTGTATGATAATTTAAGCAAAACTTTGCTCTTTTTTTAAGAAAAATCAAATAAATTATTAAAATTTAATTAAATTTTTTTCATTGCAAAGGACATATTATTGGGAAGAAGATGATGCTCATGTGTATAAAATTTGGAGATTACATTGTCGGAACCGTTTTCAAGACAAGCTTCATTGAGCTCAAAAGGCATGGGTCAAGTACAAGAAGTTGCCCGAGTTCATGCATAAGGATACCTTTAAAATTTTGTTGACAAAATGGAGGAGTCCAAAATATATTGCACCCTAGGAAAAAGGTCAAAAAAACTGAGCAAAGGGTGACCGTATGGCCCACACAACTAGATGCCTTTCTATTGGGATCCATGAGAATCGACTGGTTAGTAGGATATACTTATATATATACATATATAAATTATTTTTGTTTACCATAAAAATGGAATTGTTATTGATTTTATTGATGTTTTAATAGGCAGCTAAAAGAGGAGGAGTTAGGCTGACACCTTTAGAGTCGTACTTGTTGACTCACACGACTCGCCGACCTGATGCTCCAGAAGATGCCCCACCCACTTGGATATGTCCACAGGCTAAGCAGACATATGTAAGAATCTGATTCTTTTATGATATTAATTTTATTTATTTTTAATGTCAATTTTGATCAAAAGAAGAAAAGTGATACAATTTTTTATCCATTGTACTCAGGAAATGATTATTTTTCATTTGATTTCCCATTATTATTTGAAATTGCTAACTAATGAAAATTTTATTTTTGAAACAAAACGATGCTCACCAAAAATATGTGGAGAAGCATGGGGCAAACAAGGATTCATGGCCAGAATGGGATCCACTTATCTGGAAAGAGGTGGTTGGACCTCCTAAAAAGGGTCAGATGAGAGGGATGTCTACATTATAGGATCCAACAAAGCATGGCATCCCTTAGTGATAGTATGACATGAGTGAAGCCTCCTCTTCTACCACCAGGATTTTTACGACACAAGTCCAACAGTTGCAATCTGAGCTTACTCAAGTTCGAGAAGAAATGGTTGAGCGAGTTCAGACAGAGGTGGCTACACATATTCATACATAAGTGTCACAGAGAGTATCAGAGATGGAGGCCAGCTTTGAGAGGAGATTCCAAGAGCACATGCGCTTACTAACCAGCAATATTCTATGAATGCTACACAACCCCAGACTAGTTGTCCTTCTTCTGTACCACCCCAGACTACTGATCCTTCTTTTGGAGGGTTTAGACCTGATCACTTACCACCTCCTACTTAGAGACATTGATATTTTAAACTTATATTATATATGTTTGTATATATGTACTGCACATGTATATATATGGTGTGTAGGATAAGAAGTTAGTAAATATTTATTAACTTAAACTAGTTTTTAGTTATGTAGTATTTGAGTTTAAATAGGTAAAATATATAATATTAATAAAATTTAACATTCCTATAATAAAAAGAAAAAAATTACAATATAATATTTCGCAAAGAAATAGCATATATATATATATATCTTTATCTAAACTAAAATTTTTATAATTAATTATTAGCTCAAAAAAATTGATTCTTATTACTTTTAAAACCACAAATTTTGCAAGAGAATTAATTAATAAAAAACTCAAAAGAAAAACCAAAAAATAATTCAACAAAAAAGAAATAATTAGATAAATCAAATTGTCAATTAGTTTAAAGAGATAGTATATTTGTTTAAATATAACGATTAAAAAATTAAAAAAATTAAAAAAAAATGTAATATCCCAAAATTTTGGGGATATTTTAGCATTAAATAAGGGACTTATTTGAGGGAAAATATTATTGAGGGGTTTAATAGTCAAATTTTTAAAAGTTGAGGGACTT